ACATTATATTATTATAATTTATTATAATATAGTAATATAGTAATATTAATATAATTTATAATTATTAATAAATTATTATTATTATTCTGAGTTCTGATTGGACAGTTATTATTATTATTATTATTATTGTTGTTGTTATTATTATTATTGATATTAATTACAGTTATTACAATCATTGTATCTGACTTACATTGCATATAATAAATAATAAAGATAACCTATATCTATTTATTTATTCATTTTAATATCCTTAGATATTATAATATTGATAATATATTGCTTTTAATTCAAATATTTTATTGTAATGTTACTTTTTGCGTGCTCTTATTAATATTTGATATGTTTAAGCCAAATTTATAATTATATTTATGTTTATATATTTAAGTTATAAAATTATACTGTACTTGCACTTCCGTACTACTATTCGGAGTTGCTTCGGAATGTTGCTATTAATCATTATGTCTAGTTATGTTATCGTTATGGCTTATCGAGGGGTATCGGATACCCCTCGATATTTTAACGACAAAATTCGATACTTTATCGATTTTAACGACATACTTTAACGACATTTATCTTTATGTTAAAATACCATTTTTCGTTATAGTGTCGTTAAATCTGCGTAACGACGTCCCTAGCTAGTGAAACTGTTGTTAAGAAGTTATACAGTACAGAATAGGCCTATTGTAGTGCGATTCTGTAACTCGTTATGACAGTATCGTTATCGTTATGTTGTCGTTGTGCAGATATAATTTATGGGAAAAAATTGCGCAATGATGATATAACGATGATATAATGATAATGATACTGTCATAACAAGTTACAGAATCGCGCTACTGGTTTACTGGATTTTTGTGATAAATTCGGTGCTATTTTTCTTGTGTGATCTTGTGCTGACTTTTGAAAACCAATTAAGACGTAGATCACGTGATCAAAAATATTCCCTTCAAATATCAGATATTCTATTATTTTGTTTGTTACAACTTGTCAAAGTGAAAATAAATATGACGTCTAAACAAAATGAAACGAGGAAATAGACAAAAGAAAGTATTTTATCTTTGAAAGATGCTTATAAGCAAGACTCATGCTTATATGCGATAAACATACCAAATTATCATGATAATTATTATGATTAAAAATAATTTAATTGCAATTTTACAGCGATGTACCGCAGTGGCAATGATTTGCTCCATGTTTCAAATATCTTTAATTTAAAAACGGCGTCAAGTGTTTTCTAGTTACTCATCACGAAAACTTGTACGGTGTGAAACTAAACTAGCAAGACAGCCAGCATTGCTGATAGCAGCGTTGCCATCACGATAGCAAGCACGCAAACTAATAAGAAATCTAGCAATCAAAAAAGTACCGTGTGCCGTCGGCTTTAAATTGTTAATTTCTGATTTCAATCTACTGATTGCTTGATCTATATATCATTGAACAAGATACATTATTTTAGCGAATATAATATTTATAACAAAAAACGATATTAATTTAATTTAAATATATATATATCCTCCTTAGATAAATATTGACATTTATAAATACTTTATTAATTAATTTATCATTTTTTAATGCACATTCTTTTAAAAATATAACATTCCACAGAAAAATATTCTTTACCTTTCTCTCCTTTTTCTTTCTTTTTTCCTCTTTCCTTTTTTCTTCTATTTTTTTTTACTTTCATTAACACACACGTACACATGCATGCATGCAAACACATTCTCTTATTTAGTCACCTATTATATATTACTCTTACTTTAACTTTAATTATATATTAATTGTAATTTGGCTCTGTCCCAGTGAAGGCTACAATGCCTCTCTTTACGGTGGCTCTATCAAGAATAATACTTCGAGAACAACAAACATGGAAGATTTATCTAAGTCTTGTGCCGATAGTTGGTGGAGTAGCTGTAGCTACATTAACGGAGCTTAGTTTCAACGTGGTCGGCTTGATAAGCGCGTTAGCATCCACTATGGCATTTTCTTTGCAAAATATTTATTCAAAGAAGGTAAATCAAATTGATAAAATTTTAATTTAATTTTTATATCCTATGTCCTATCTCAAAATTCTATTTCTAAATTTTGTGATTTTTGGATCTGCAGGTGCTGCACGATACAGGAGTACATCATTTGCGGCTACTACATATACTTGGTCGCTTAGCGTTGTTCATGTTTTTTCCAATTTGGATCATATATGATTTGCGCAGTTTAATGTATGAATCGGTGATAAAACCATCAATAGAAATAAGTTATTATGTACTAGGGCTATTATTTTTAGACGGTATACTTAACTGGTTTCAGAACATTATTGCATTTTCTGTATTGTCCATTGTGACTCCTTTAACATATGCTGTGGCGAGTGCTAGTAAACGCATATTTGTGATAGGGATAACATTACTTGTACTTGGCAATCCAGTTACATGGCTTAATATATTTGGTATGACTATGGCTATATTAGGAGTATTATGTTACAATAAGGCCAAATATGATCAAAAAATAGAGAAGCAAAAAAAGACGATTCTGCCAAAATATTATAACATAACGCAAAATGGTAATAGTAATTTTTTTATAGTAAATGGATTTTCTGATGGATACCAATCATTTGCAGTCTAGTTTCAATTAACAATTTTATTTTGACAAGTACATGTGAGTTTTCCGCATTAGAAAAAGTACATTATTTTCTTTTTTAAATGATTAATTTTCACTTAAATATTATTATAATTTATTATGTAATTGTTTTAAATTCTAATCAAATATGAAGAAAAAACTCATATGATCAATTATTTTTAATATTATGTATATATATATATATATATATATATATATATATATAGT